GGATTGTCTCCTACACTATAATAGATGGCAAGGTTTTGGAGCCCCAGATACAGGATATGACTTCCCTAGACTGAAATGGGATGACCTGCAGGAGGTACTGCAGCACACATGGGACTTGTGGAGTCAGACTCTGGTCTTAGCAGAAGAATCTTTGCACTAGGCATAAACGGGGATAGTTTTAGAGGGAGAGGACACAGGAAATGCTTGAGCTGTTCATGACCAGAAGACAAGAAAGAAGGATATTTTGGGCAACTGCCAATGAAATAAGTTCTAATTTTCTGCTCTGGCACTGAACTAGAACTGCTTGTCTTTAGACTAGGAGATGGGTGGGATGGAGTGAGACAAGTTACTGTGATGTTGCTCTACCCTCCTCTGAACACCATGTCTCTCTCACAGTTAACTAAATGGTGTGGGTTGGGTTATTTTTCTCCTCCAGCTACAATATATCTCTGCGTATTAAACTGTTGTGTTTCTTGAACAAAAGAAGGACGAGTTCAGTCATGACTGAATCCTAAAGGGAACCAAAAATATTCTGGTTTAGCTTCTCCTGTCACATTATCAGAGAGTATGTGGCAGTAATAGGCATTCCTAAGTCTCTTCCACCTACCCTGCATTTCATATCCTGAAGGAGCAGCTCCTGTCTACTCTATTCAGAATGCATTATTTTCTCACATACATACCTCATTTTTTCTTCTGGTAGGTTTTAAGAGCTCATTAAAACTGCTTCTTCCCTTTCACAGGACTCAGATATTTATGCATTATAAAACTTCCCTTTTGTCTATAACACAGGTTGATTTTACTGCCTTATTTAATTGTTCCCAAGCCTACATTAATGAGACACTCCAGGAGAAATCTTAACAGATATATTGCCTAAAACGGAGAAAATGGTATCATCTACTAGAATAAATAAAGTTGCAAGAAATTCTAAGATTCATAGACTGCCAAAATATTAATTTTTGCAGATTAAATAGTATTATTCTTGTTTACAGAAAGCTGTCTATGGACTTTTCAGTATAGGCAGACTTACTAAACATTTTTAAAGAGCAGGAAGAACAAAGCAGAGTAACAGTCTGCCCAGCCTTCCACCAGTAACCCTTCCTGCTCCAAAGTGGGAATGGCTGCTGTGAATACATTGAGCATGGTCAGGAAAGGGTGACCACAGTAATAACTCCAGCTGGCAGAACAAACAGGGTGTATTTGGTGTGTCTTATGTGTTCAGTAGAATTTTATTCTGCCTTTTACTTTCATTGGCTCCAAATACCCATCACCTTTAGCACTGAGTAGCAATGCACTGAGTAGCAATTGTACTGAGTAGCAATGAACGGTCCCTCCACTCTGAACAGGGGGATGGTGTCAGTTCTTGCTTACTAGAGAGACACCTTGGAGGGAACAAATGCCATGGCAGGGGAAGTTCACCCTGAGATGCTCTTTCCCCATTCCTTGTGCACTTAGAAGCCAGGAGTCATCTTAGGTAAACCCAGCTGATGTGGGGCATGCCCAGCTACCTCACAGGTCCAGTCAGGCAAATATATTCAAGATATCCACATCAGGTATTTGGTGGGAGATGTAACTGTGCATTTCAAGGACATAGGTAATTCAAGATAATTGAAACAGCAACAGGGGCACGTGGCTTTCTCTTCACTGCACTTGATATGTGGGTAATTGGTTTTTCTTTGCATGATATATATATAGTTCTTGTACTGATGACAAGTAGTTGTTCAAAATATTTGCAGCTCTGGAGAAATAAAGTGCTTCCATTGTGGGTGTTTATCGTCTGATGAAAAATAAATCATTTTGTTTGAGGAGTTTATTTCTGGAGTCCAGAGAATAGCTTAATCACTTTAGAAGGCGAATTTATGAAACTGCTGTAAAATATCATAGTCTATAGAGTAACTTAACATGTGTACAACATGGCTTATAAAACAGAACAGTATTTAAAAATAAAAAGTGAGATAATTATTTGATAGACTGTCTATTATTAAAAAAATAGAGGAAATGAAGATGTATTAGAAATCAACAGTGTTCTTATTTTATTTGGAAAATATAAATTGGTGGAAAATGAATTAGCTGTAAAAAAATCTATTGATTTTAAAGTCCACTGAGACTTTTAAAATATAAAAATGAAATGGTTATCATCAAATGCTGTTCATTCTCATAAAGCAAACTCAGTTTATCTGAATGAATTTCCTATTATTTGTTTGATTTGTAAATAGTTTATGAAGAAATTTTCAAAACTACATTTTCTTTTGAAGCACCTTCTGTGCTGTGAAAGAGATTTAACTTTGACAACAATTCTTTATGGAATGTAAGGCTAATGCATCAGACTTGCTTAGGTCCTGTGTGGAGTTATGTAGAGCTGCTGCTGGATGGCTTCAGGCTGCTTTCAGATTTTACATGGAGAATATAGAATTCATAATTTTGAATCTACTATCAAAATGTCAGGATCTCATAGTTATATATAAAGGATAGGAAGCCATTTGGTTTATGCAGCCGTGTTCTTCGGTGTGACAAACCTTATGGCTAACAAGGAAGTGACACTGCTGAGCAGCCAATGTATATTCCTGGGCCTTTTGTTGATGAGCATAAACAAACTTACTAAAAAGGGGGAAAAATCATTGTGCACTTTGGTCATACAAAGAGCCAATAATAGTCTTAAGTTACACGTCCAAGGGGCTGGATGCTCTCAACTCATGGGTTCTCAGGAGGGTATGGTGTATCCCTCACCGAATTGCCCGAATTGCTTAAAGTCTTAGCTCTGAGATACAGCTTAGGCACCTCCAACAGAGTGGTTTGTATATTCATGACAGGTTACAGGGATACTTTCAGGAGATCTTTGCTGGATATTCTGTTGTCTGCGTGTACTGTGCAAAGTATTATTATTAAGTTATTGTGCAATTCTTGATAGTTACTGAAAATAAGATAGGTACTTTTTTTGGTGCCAGAGTAAAATCAGACACATAATTTCCATGCATCAATAAATGCAGGTTTCAAAAAGTGCCAGTTTGCAGGAGAATTTTGTTTTGATCACTTGATACAATTTCTCCCACAGTTTCTCATAGTGTCCTAAAATCCTGCTGTTGAAAATACAGGAAAAAAAAAAAAACAACAGATAAAATAAGTGTCCTAAAAGAGAAGCTGGAGTTAACTTAATCCAAATACCAGCAACTAACACACTGACCACTAATATCAAGCTGGAATACTGTGCTGGTAAGGAACTTCGCGCAGTAGAGTCATTTATGCATTTCAAAAGCCCCAGGCAAACATTCCATCTTGCTCCCCTCCACACTATTCCACTTGACTTTGAGCCTTCATTCTCTCAAGTCACAATTGACTTGACTCACTGGTTTAGGATGGCGCGTAGACTGATGTCTTAAGCTTCAGAATTATTAGGTTAATGCAGCAACTTATCAGTGTCAGAAATAACTGCTCTGAAATGAACCAAATGGGAATGGGGGAGAAATGGACAGCTCTTCTCATTGCCTGACACAGTCTCCCACATCTATAATCAGGAAACACAGCAACGGTATCTCTGAAAGCTGTCTGGTGAGATACGCATGTATGAGTGAGAGATAGATTGTTCAGCTCTAGAGAAAAGCATATGGAAATGCTAAAGTATATCAGGAAAACTGCACTGATTAGTCATGTTGCATTTGCTCCCTTCTTTTGGGCAGATGCAGGATTTTGCTCTGCACATTCTGTGCAAAGGTGCTTGGCACTTCTGACACCCAGTGCTCATTCTGTTCCACTCTTCTTGCCTGCACTGTATGTTTTGCACCAAAACAGCTCAGAGAACTTTGTAATTATAATGTGTATAGGGTTAGTCAGGATTTAAAGATGTGTGTCTTTTTGTATGGGCCCCTTAAGTGGACAGAAATATAACCATGAGCTGTTATCTTGCTTTTTGATACTCAAGCTGGTCAGTGGTGTTGGTCAGTGTAGACAAATCCCATGTCTGCCTGAGCTGACTGTGGGAATATCCATGGTCCATTTGCTACCACAGCTGGAACTGCTGAGATCTCCAGTGCCTTGACTTGGCTACTACTGACCACTTTGCTTCTCACATCCTAACATTCCATGAACTTTCCGACAACAGGCAGAAGACTGGTAAGTATTTTCAGAGTATTTCTTTGACAGTGGAAATGAGGCTATGTGCTCATGTGTTCTGTAACACCTGCCTGAACAGTCTTGAAAATGATTCCTGGTCAGTAATGGAAAAAAATTTAGGTGTAGCATTGGATATTGCATGGATGCCTCTTGCCAATACTCTAGTGAAAGAGGATGGATGTACTGTAGACCTAGACTACTCTTCTAAAGTCCTTTCTGTTAATTGAAAAGTGCTCCACAGTGACTGTAGGACTGGAAATGTGTTTTTTTCTGGAAAGATAAGTAAGTTGTATAATTGCTGTTAGAACAAAAATTAAAGATGGAAAAAAAACTGTCATCAGAATACTTCCTAGCCTTTAGAACATCTGCACTTTTCCTCCACTTTAAATGGTTTTTTTTAGTTTCTTTTTTTTTTTTTTTTTTTTTTGGTGTTTTTTTTTTTGTTTTTTTTTTTTTTTTTTTTGGCCATAATGGTTGTTAATTGCATAATATGCACATTTATTCATAAAGAAAAGGTAATAAGTAAATCACTTTTGGGGATTACAAAAACCAACAAGATTAGACCACTTAAAATTCTCTATGGTTTGGGTAAATACATTTCTCATACTTAGGTACAGCCAGGTTTCACTGGGGCTGAAAGAAACTGGTGGAAATACTGTGTTGGAGACAGCATTTTTGAATATAAGGGTGTGGTTACTCAGATTTTACTAGTTCATGGTTCATGGTGTCCTGTTAATATATTCATGCTTCTTCTTGAGTTTCACATATTTTAATGCAGAAGCTGTAAAACTGCTAAAAGTTCACACCCTAGTCTTGCTAATCTTGAAGGTGAAAGAGATTGATACAGAGATTCACCCATCCTGGTGTTTTATACATTCTGGGGAGACAAGCATTTCTCTTTGTGGACATTTTCCATGTCCATCACATTTAATGGAATTTTATTATATTACATTCCCAAGGGAAATTACATGCAAATAATGGATCAGATGATGGTTCCAAACCATTATAGTAACCGTGTGATTTCCCCTTCAGAGTCCTTGAAATTTTATTGTCTTCTGAAAGAAAACGTCACTTGACTCATGGCATATTCAGAACATCAGAAATATGCAATATAGGTAAAACTGCTTGAAGAATAGTTTTTTTCCCCTGAGTGGACAGTTTTTACTCACCCCTATCTCTGTGGCTTCTTTCATGATCAGCTGGGGTGTTTTGAATATTTCCTTAACTGTAATCCCTGAAACCATTCCAATGGAAGGGCACATTTTCTCTGCCAAGTCTGGTAAAAGAAAATATATAAACACAATAGTTTATTGATCCTGCAGGTCTCCAACATTGTCATACTGAAAGCAGTTTCAAGATGGACAAGATCTCATCTGAAATACCATGGGTATATTACTACACAATTTTTTACCCTAATGTTTTATGAGATGACCAAGCAATTCTCTTTTTCTGAACTCTGGGCTAGGTTTCCTTTTGTCAGTCCATGATATTACAAATCAGTGATGTACACAGTTCAGCATAACTTAATCAATATTTGTTTTAAAGTAAATGTTTAAAAATAATTGGAAAAGCATATTTATCCTCTATTACTACCAGATGTATACTGGCAGAAAATGCAGAGAAATGCAGCAGTGCTGTCCTCATTTGAACTGGTATTAGTCATGCTAATTGGAGCCTTTTCTCCACAGCATGTGCATATGTGTATGCAAGGGAGTGTGTGTAGACCCTCTGGACATATACTCAGAGTCCAGCAGCTTGGTGTATTGGCTCTTTCCATCATTGCATGACATGATCTGTGCCTGCTGCTAAGTCATTATATTTGCAGCAAATTATGGTACTGCTTTGCCTTGTATTTCACTGTGAAAGCTCTAACCCTCTTGAATCCCCCATCCTTCCAGGCAGCCAGACAGCCTATTTGCAGCTGGCACTTTTCAGCGGGGGCCTGCTAACTTAATTTGCTATTGTCTGCTTTTATGGAAGTGATGGACTGTAGGCTCATTGACAGATCAATTTTTTCATTATCAGCATATGCAGCTGTTTGAATACTTACTGTGCCCTCATTCTTGTCCATTTTCTGCTTATTGTCAAATAAGCTAAAGTGTTTAGTGGAAAGCCCAGCTTCCCAAGTCAATTTTGCATGGAAATTATTGTTTAAATAAAACAAACAGCATAGCAGAAAAACTTCCTGGGAACATACATGTCTTGTATAATTGCCTCTGAATAAAATTATGCTATGAACATAAATCTGATCTGCAGAGTTGTTTGATGCAGTTAGAAATCTTTCTAAATTACTTTAATATTTATTGCAGTTCTTAAAAAGGAAAGTACAGCATTTTTAGGAACAAATACCTTGCAGAAGTTTTTTACTCCACAATTAGTGACCACCTCTACAGTTTATCACGTGAAAAAATATTTCCTTAAAGGAAATAAAGCCAGTTTAGTCTTTACTACTTATATGCAAGCCCACAGTCTGCAAATCAGCAGCCTATTGCCTTAGCTGTGCACTTGAGATACTGCTTATCACACAGAACAACTCTGAGCGAAGCAGCTGTTGGCCTGGAGGCAGCAGGACAGGCACAACACTTCTTCACTGCATGAGCTGCTAGGGTGCTGAGTTACTGATGATTTTCTCTGCCAAAAGCCATAATCTGGATTTAAAAAGAAAATAAAGGTCTAATTAGCTCATGTTTTGTGCTTTATCTGAAAGCCATGACTTACCTACAGAGAGGTGAATGTAGCAGAGCACAGTCACTTCCCATTACCTGAGTGACCCCGAAGTTTGATCCCTTCAGTGAGGCTCTTGCTGTTTGCAGTGTTTTACGTCCTCACTAAGCTAAGAGACAGCAGGACAAACCTTGGCAGAGCCGAGGGTGATTTGCCTTCAGATCCCCGTGACGTTCCTGCTGCAGATGAGTCGCCAGCCTTGTGAGCACTGCAGACTGATTTTGCACGCCTGTGTTTACATGCCTGGCTCCTGCCTGCAGACTTCTCTGAGAGCTTCTGGTAAAACTGCAGGTATCACTTACAATCTGTGACCACTTGTGTGACTGAGGCTCTCTGCTCTTTGCCTCTGACCAGCCCACCTTTTCCTGTGAGGAGTTTACTGAAGATGCATGGCAGGGTATCCCTTTCAGGATAGGCTCCCAGCTGAATTCTCCCTAACTGTCATGTTCAGAAAGGTGTGAAAATTGTCCTGAAGTTCATCTGTGTGTAGTCCTTCTGTAGTGTCCTTCTATTCTTCTGGAGTGACCTTGTGCTCCAGGTAAAGAAGCGCTTCTCTAACAGGCTGATTTCTGGTAGCCTGGTGAGGTGTTACTGCGAGTGTGACCTATAAGTTTAAATCCAGAGATGATCATGCTAATTTAAACCTTTTCTGTTTGGCTCCACGGGTGTCTAAGTGTCATATGCAAATTCACATTTCCAAAGATAGGCAGAGGCTGCCTCATCTCTTTCCTCGTTTGATTATGTGTCTCACTGCTGCAGCTAACAGATTACATTTTCAGCTATTACCAATTACTCTTTGATATAATTTAGTCTACTTAGATGTAGGAATAAAATAAAACAAAATAGGTCAATTTGTCATCAGATTGTAATAGTCTTGCCACACAAAACCGCTCCAATCATTACTCTTAAGTTAGTCAATAATGTCTTCTGAGACTATAATGTAAGTGGAAACGTGGCATCCAGAGTAATATGAGACAGTACATGTGCATAGCACACATTGTGTCATGTCTAAAACATCACTGTATCCCTACTACAGGAAAAATAAGGTAATTTTCGTTGAAATTCCAATAAAATATCTGATTCTTGTCAAGTTCTGAGCATCTTAACAAAGTTCTCTTGGCACCGCCACCTTAATAAAAGACTCAGTTTTTAGCAAGGTAGACAGATATGAAAGGCTGGTGCTCATGGCTGTATATTTGTTTCCAAATTAAGGCTATGTAGCCTTCTGGATGTAAATAGTTATGCATGGAACTGGAGGTTTTTTGTGTAAATTTATAAAATCATATAACAATTAAATGGGCCTGTTAAACTGAGCTGAGAGTTGATGTGAACCAGTGTCATTGGGAAATAAGCTCTGAAATAGGAGGTTGGATCACTGGGTAACATGTGAATAAAGTAGGATTTGACCTCTAGGCATAAAAGAAAAAAAGGCAAAGCTTGAATTCATTGCAGGTTACGGGGGAAGCTTTTCAGAATTCAGGCAGAAAGTTGATCCTAAAGCAGTTTTTAGGTTATGAACAGCTTTGTCTGGGATGAAGGTGAGAAGCTACACTGAGTAAAACTATGATTTATGCAAACCTACCAAGTAATCCAAACTCTACGACATTCTAATTTCTAGCTGGCCTGGAAGAAAAATGGGGCAAAACCCTCTCTGGGGAAAAGAAGTGGGGTGAAAAGGCTTGAGCTCAAACTGGGGCTTGAATTCACAGAGTTCCAGGGCAAAGTACGGTGTCTGCAAGGAAGACAAAGATGTTCTTCTGTCAGGTCAGTGGCAGACAAGGATATCTCACTGTGAAAGGGCAGAGGTTAGATTGGGATATATGTTCAGTCAATGCTAAGGCCATGACTTGTTTCAGATTGACTTTAGAAATTATTCCACATTTGGTTTCTGAGCCACCTTTTGCTCTGGGGCTTAACTGCAAGGCTGGGGAAAAGATCAAGAAAAGATCAGTCAGTGTTGGGATACAAGCTGGGTTTGCCATGGCCAGTGCCAGTAAATGCTGCTGACAAGCTGGTGACACAGAGCTGGCCAGACTCTGCTGGGTGTCAGTGCCAGTCTGTGTTCTTGTGATGTTTGTACATGTGGATCTGGACGGTGTCACTAATTTAGAGGGAAAAGCTGGGCTTGTACTTGAGAGTGAGTTTGCTACACTAACTGTGTAAAAACTCAGATGCCAGCCTGTTTTAACTTGTGTGGACTATCTGTGCACAAATATATAAATAAAGGTTAGAAATGAGAGATATTTTTCAGGAGGCTGAAAAACTTAAGGTAAAATGGTCTTCAAATATAATTTTCTTCCTTGAATTTGCTTGGATCTTCACAAATATAGCAGCAGCACAGATGCTGCCAATGTGTACTGAGCACACTGACCTTTCAGCAATTTCCCTGTGTGTCAAGCATTGTATCTTTCTGAGCCCTGGGGAATCGCAGGATGCTGGAAGAAAACCCAAGTAAAACTATAAAAAAATCAATGCTCTTGATTTCAAAGAACAGCAAAACACATGAGTCAGTCACAGAGACGTAATCCCTTACTACCCTCCTTGTCATGCCAGCCATGATTTCATTGGAAATCAATTTTAAGTTCTATCCTAGATGGGGCTTCTTCTGACTACGTTTTTCACAATTCCTTTGATTTATTTTCATGAAAGCTTTAAAAAAAGAACGAAGTTGGTGGCTGACCAGTGGTAGCTGATGAGTTAATTGAATGCTTGGCTTTGAGGGTAAGTAAAAAGAGTGTAGCCAACTATTACCTGGTTACTGGAGAAACTGTCCAGCCTGCTTGCATGGGTGATGGAGCTGCACACCTCTGGGCAATAGCTGTTTCTCACAGTGTTACCTAAATAAAATAAGTAAAATAAAGGAAAATGTAAAATTATGTTGTACATTACATGTGTGCTATAAGTGTAAGTCATGGTAGACTTGGGTTTGTAAAGCACCACTTTTATTACATGGCAAAGGAAAGTCTCATGGCTGAATCAGTGAATGGGAAGTCAGAAGGTCTAGGTTTTCATCTTTTTTGAAGGCTTCCTCAGGAACTTTGGACAACTCATTATGTTTGTGTCTCAATGTTCCAAACTACAGAATAAAAATACTTATGCTTTGACATAAATATATATATTTTAAAAGAAGATCTTAGAATAAAATGTTTTTTCTGGGTTCCTAACATGTTGCATCCATCTGGAGCTGTGGGCTGTGGTGTGGGATTGTTCACTTTCTTACCTGAAAACAGATACTTTCTCCTACTCTTGTTCTGATGGTATGCTTAGGCATAAAGAAAAAACATCAAAACCAATATGTATAATCTGCAGCAGTTTATATTAGGCTGTGAATTCACTTTGTTAGAATCTGTTAGCTAGATTTCATCATGGTTTTGGGAAGTTGATAAGTCACTGCACTTGTGATGAGTGGGTTTTTTTGGGTTAAATTATTGTCTCTTATTCCTCATGTGCATTTTGCACATAATGTGAAGAAGCTCTGCTTTAATTTGCTTTATCATTAATCATTACAAGTAAAAATTAAGGAAGAGTTAAGGAGTTTTCATGCACATGGAGTGTAAGACTGAGAGGGGATGTCGGTTTAATGTTTGCCTTTGCTAAATAATATAAAGCCATCTTGGCAAGGACAAACTCCAAAGAAATCACAAATCTAAGATTTGTTTTTTTAGAGTACAATCAGTAAGAGGCCATTCTGTGGTCACTCATAGGTGAATTGAGGAAGAACAGTGCTTGGTTCCCCAAGGACTTGTAAAGGAGAAGCACTATTGAAATCAGCCACCGTACTTTGAAGCCCCACAAAGCAGGAGCCCCACTGCTCAGGAGCACTGTGTCAGGGAGAGAAGGCAGATGTTCTCAGACCTGTGTAATGAAGTACTGCTTCTCCACTGATCTCAGCTGTGTAATGAGAGGCTTGCTTTATACAGCACATGAGATTCCAGCTTTTATATCATTTTTCAACAAGACTGTTGAAGACTTGAGGCTTTTTGTTCATTTGAATAGTACAGAAATTTTGAGCATATTCTGGGAGTTGATAGTATGAGAAAATATTTTCAAGTTGGGCTTGTCCAGCAGAGATGATTTTAGAAAAAAACACAACTTCTTTACCCTTAACGTTCAACTTCTTTACCCTTCTTTACCATTAATGTTCATGAAAAGAGAGCATCTTAGGCTTTTAATATTCTTTTAAAAATTGCCCAGATGGCACAAAAATAGCCTGGATAGCTTTTCTGGGATAGTGTTAAGAGACAGCATGTTTGACTTTGTGTCTTTGTGGATGGTCAGTTGAAGCATTGAAGAACTCCATTATGCTGAGCTAATTTTTGTGGGAACAGAGCTCCAGAGAAACTGAGTTTTAAGGTGAGGAGATGGTCAGAGCACCTCTCCTATGAAGAAATGCTCAGAGTGTTGATGTTGTTCAGCCTGGAGAAGAGAAGATTACAGGGACACCTTTAAGCAGCCTTCCAGTACCTGAAGGGGGCCTGCAAGAGAGCTGGAGAGGGACATTTTACAAGGATATGGAGTGACAGGACATAGGAGAAATGCTTCAAACTGAGAGTAGATTTAGAAAAAAAATTAGGAAATAAATCTTTACTGTGAGGATGGTGGGGCACTGGGGACAGGTTGCCCAGTGAAGCTGAAGCTCCCCCATCCCTGGAAGTGTTCAAAGCCAGGTTGGGTGGGGCTATGAACAATTTGGTCTAGTGGAAGGTGTCCCTGCCAAGGCAGGAGGGTTGGAACTAGATGATTTTGAAGGTCCCATCCAACCCAAAGCATGCAATGGTTCTATGATATATATAATTGAATACAGTTCATTCTTGATTTAGTGTAAGTAGGTTTTGTAAGCTCAGATTTGACCAGTGGTGAATGACAGCCTGGGTCATTCACCTCTAACTACAAAAATATATTTAAAGCAAAGGATTCTTTTGACATGTTTTACTATTTGCATGTTTTAACTGGGGCAGATGAAAATACATTGCTCATTTTGATAGAAAAATTGCATGGGACAGGAATATTAAAAACCAGAAGCAAGTACTTACCTATTCCTACCGAGGAATACAATTTGGGTCACCCTCTGTCATAAGGAAATCAAAGTTGTGCAAGCAAAAAGGAAAGTGTATTTATAAAGTTGCTATATTCTACATTTTCTTCATTCCACCAGAGTGTACTGAGAGACAGTGTGTGACCTGTGACCATGGAACAAGAACAAGTGGAATTAAATTGTATTACTCCTGGAGCTGTTTTATTCCTTTCACCATACAGACACTAGGGAAACTAAGGCATGGTTATGAGCCAGGTGAGCTGGAGGGTTTTCAAACAATTTCACAAGCAGAACCTGCATTTTTCTCTCAAAGTTATATTCTGATTATATTCCCCTGAAGGAGGGACAGAAAATAAATTGAAGTCTAGTCAAAGTTACATTACGAAGTTGTCTTTGACAAAAGGTGCCTTTCATTTACTTACTACTGTGAGTTTTCTGTGACTCAGCAAACTGTGGGGTTTGGCTGTCAGAATTAAATAGTCTCTTGTGGCACAATGCCAGAGTTCAGTGTGCTTTTACTTAGTGTTATCAGAAACTGAAAGTCAATAAAATTTATAGAAGCAAAATTTTCCAGTGTGTCCATGACCTTGCCAGAGAAAGTTCTGCATTCAGCAGTGTCAGCTACTGTCTCTCAGTGTTCAGAGGTTGTCTTCACTGTGGTTTGTGTCTAGAGTTTTCTACAGGAAGACATTTTAAATTCTAGTCTCATGATGTGGTACAATTTGAACTAGATTATGCCTTATAGTCCCACCAAGTGCTGAACTGGTCTCTCCATTTTCATTTATCAAGAACTGCAAGGCAAAAGCTCTCCATAAGAACTTCAAAAAAAAGGATAATTTTCATTTCTGCAACACTTACAGGGTGCAGAAATCTGGCTTTTTTTTTTCTATACATCCTTTGTGTTTCTTTCTAGCTGGAATAAGTTTCATTATATTATGATGAACCCAGTCCTTAAGTTCATGAAGGCATTTGCTAAATTTTCTGAAAATATTCTGGAGAATTAAAACTGGAACTTAAATTTGTATTAATTGGTTTCACAGTCCAGAGAGTGCATATTTTTTCACTTCAACAATCTAATGAAATAGACCCCATATAGCCTTACTTCAGGCTTCATTACATTAGCTATGTCTTACTGATGGGGTTTCTAAAGCTTCCCATTGCTTGGATGCTCTGTGCTCTCACTGTTTTGCTCTTTTTCTTTCTCAATAGGATAATTCCTCTCTTGTTAACAGTACGACTGCTCCTTTGTCTCAACAAACCTGATACATCACTTGCAAATCAAATGGCAAAAAAGCATGCTATCTGTTTCTGCTGTAGAAACACTGCAGTGGATGTTAGTGTCCTGCTCCATGTTTTGGAACCTTTCCCATAAAGCATTTAATTATGTTTTCTCTTTCCATGATTACCTTCACTCTTATCTCGATCATTTTTCCTGGCTCTGCACCTGTCTGTATAAACTAGATAGCAAAGTGGCGTAATCCTTGGGCTGGAAACAGAGATATGTGCTGATAAAGCACCACTGATTTTGAAACTATTGAACCTGGATCCTGAAATGCATGCTGGTTAAAAACCCATACTATTAGATATTAACAGATGATACTTACCAGAGCTTAGCATTAAAAAATCAGACAATGAAAAGAATAAAACGTTGGCAGCTGCTTGTAACTTCACTTGAAAAGCCTCTGGGATAAGGTGGTCCTTCAAGTATGTCAGTGCATAACTTCAGTAAATAATAAAGGCAATAAATACACGTGTGTAAAACCTCCTTCCTGAAGTCATAGCTGTTTCAGCAATTGACTTAGTACCACCTCTAACCAAAGCAATCCAGACTTGGTTTGATACTATCTGTTGCAGAAAATAAAATCTTACTTTGGTGATAAGACTGAGTGGAGAACTAGGGCCCTAGAACACAATATAAATCCAAACACCTTCTCCTGAAAAACATTATCAGATGCGTCTGTTCACCCAGGGCAGTTCATATTCAGCAGCACTATGCCATGTTTATTTTTGCTTTGACTTTTATGTACTTATGTTTTGGCAATGGAAAATTAAAATTTTTTGTAGTTATACAAACCCATCATCTGTTTCAGGAAGACTCTTTTCATGTATGCAAAGGTTGGTATAATGGTACCCAAGCAGGAATCATCATTATAACTGCCAAATAATTGGAATGCTGCTTTCTCAGTTAGTGATCTTGTCTACAGTTTGAGAGGCAGACCAGCACTTCTACAGGATAAGCTCTGCCTAAATATTTTCACTTGGAGACTTGCTAAAATATTTCATCTTTCCACTTCTTCAATGGAGTGGTGAATGACACTGTAGTTTGAGACCACTCATTGCTTTCATGAGCACACCAAGGCTACATTCATGCTCTTCTAACACAGCCATGTGGACCATATTTTTAATGTTGATAATACTTAACATACAAAAGCTTTTCTCCTTTAAAATTTTCCTTTGTTAGCAAAATGTTGTTTCCACACACTGTAACCCTGCTGCTGTTTAATCTCAAGCAAGAAAGTGAAGCTGGAATATGTGGAAAGGAAGGGCACATTGGTACTCATTTATGTGAAAGGGCCAAGATATTCTCTGAGATCTGCATTCACAGAACTGTGCTGATAATCAGAATGTTGGGATAAGCTAAAAGTCCCAATTTTATTTTTAATAAATGTCAGCTAAGTAGAAAAGTGAACCCTTTAGTTTGCAGTAAAAACGTACCCTTAGTAGCAAAGATAATGGGTTGAGTGTATGAGCTTAACAGTGTGACTAGAATACAGTTGTACCAGGAGAAGGATATTACAGAGTTCTGGGAACCACAGCCATCTGCACACTGTGGAGTTATTTCCTCATCGCTATTCTGGAGCCGTGCTTATCCAGGAGAAAAAATAGCAGATATATCAGGCCCTCAGCTTCCTAACAGAAATATTGGTGCTTAAGGCATGAAGGGAAAAATAAAATTATAAATGAGTGAGTTGTATTAACACCAAACCTACTATTATCTGCTGTCATTAATGAAGAAAAAAAATTTGCATGAATTTCTAAAAACTTCCACTAGATTGCCACTAACACACATCTCTAGCAGAAGATCCAGAATGACATGAAGCAAGAAGAATGTAAGGTAATGAAAAAGACTTTAAAAGATGTGCTTCTGCTCACAGAGCTTTTGATAACTAAAATGAAGTCCTCTGTACTGAAGTGAGTCACTGGCAACAGAAGGAAAAAGGAACCTTAGTAATAGAATTAATCTGACCCAATTTTAAACCTCAGCTAGAGAAAAGATTAATTGTATCAACCAATGTGAATAATTCAGATGAAGATATGTACATTGTGGCCTTCATAAATTGACATTTTTTGTAGATGAGTTCCCAGAGCCATATCTAGTAAATAAGCCAGTTAAAAAAGCTTTATAAATATTAATAACACCTCATAATTACTGTTATGAGGGGTAATAGATTGATGGGTTTTCCCCATTTCCTGCCCTATGCTTCAAATAGAATTAAAATGAAAGCACAGAACCAGTTCTTGCAGTAGTTCCAGTGTGGGAGATGTTTTTAGGAAGCACTTATGAAGGGATGTACAAATGACAGGCACTGTAATTCAGTGACAACTCTGATGCTCTGCCATAGTAAGACTTTTAAGGCAAATGCCACTTCAAAGTCGGTCTGCTTAAGCATGTGAGAACCACTATGCCATGTAGCATGCAGCTGCCTTATTTAGCACAAGGTCACCTAAATGCATGCCACAGTTTCTGTGCTCAGACCTGTGCAGCACAGGAGGCTGGGGCAGTATGGGAGGCTGGGGCAGCAGGTTTTCCTCCCAGGCCTCTGTCTCCTTGCTGCGGAGAGATGGGGCCTTGAGTGCAGCTAGAGTGACCCACAGCAATGAAGCCTCCTGGTCCAGATGCACCTCTCTTTCTCCACTGCCCTCAGAGGGACTGGAGAGATAACTCTCCTAGCATGGAAGTGATACCAAGGCTACTAGTTTAGATTCTTAAAGATGGGACGTATACTCTTATCTTTGCTGTCTGTTCCCCTTCCCCCAAATACTAGGACATTCAGAAAAGAATTTTTACCTCTTTGAATCACAAAAGATGAAATGGATAATATGCCTCTTTGCAGCCGTGAAAAAGATAATGGTACATGAATTTGCATTCTTTGTCACATTCTGCTATGTAATTTGATGATGTAAGTACCTGGAAATGTCAATAGCATCATTGTATATCAAAGTCCTTTACAAAAGATGTTAACTATCATTATCACCATGGGGATACAGAGACTAAAGGGACTCATTTGGAGTTACTCAGAAAGGAGTAGGAAATTCAAGCAAAACTCTTTTACAATCCTCTGCCCATGTGGTGACACCATCAGGATTTTTTTCTCTTTGGTACATAATCAAAATGTTGTTCCAATGCAGCTGAGGAGTACATCTCTATTCAAGTGCAGTTACAATGGGAAAATGAGATATTGTATATAGACTCTGCATGATAATGTAGCCACTGCATTGGGCTGAGCACAAGACTGGAAAAAAGGTGTGACCTTAAGAAAAGCTTGAACTTAGCAGCAAACTCACTCAGTGCCTGTGTATGAATTGCGGATTGCTCTGTAGCTTGGCCCTAGACTTTAATTCTCACTGTCACTCACTTCCTACACAATAATATGTCTTAGCTAAGCAGTCCTTGCTAAATCAGAGACTAACTTAAACCTCTGTATTGTTGTGTTAGTTAAGACCAATTTTCTTTTGTCCACTGTAATGTTTTTGTCAATGGCCAAAGCAAGAGCATAAAAATGGGGAACTAATTGATTCCTTGATATCCTTTCTCATTCAGGCAATCATTGGATTAGGAAATCCTGTAATGGACCACACAGATCATTGTGCTCAGAAGTCTTTTATGGTCCCGTTCCAAATCATTGTGTTTAATCCCTTTTTCAGATCCATTTATATATTTGGCCTGCATTAAATCCTATGTAATGTTAAAGTGCAAGAGCAAGGCTTTGTTGTGAGTTTCAATTTTTGGCAGGGGCAAAACATTTGTGTAGCTCATTTATCACAGCATATTGTATTTCCTGTGGTCTGTGAAGCCGCTACTGGAAGCAAGCTGTGACAGCTATTGAATGCCTAGTTTGGAGGCAAAGATGTTAGCAAAGCTATTAGAAGAATTCTGTTACAGCCTGGGGAACAGAGTAAGCCAAATTTTCTATGAGATTCTTCAAAGTGCCAGAAGTTACATAGTGATATATAGTTGTTTTAGCCTGGTGTTTATCATCCTTAATATACAAATTGATACAAATTTTAGAGAAGTAAAATATTTTTGTCCCTTGACAAAGAAGGTCATTTCATAATCAGAAAATGTGGTTAGAACCATGTCTAGCAGAGCAAGTCTCAACAATTTGTGTCTGGCTCTGGGGAAGATTTCTGCTTATCTTTTGTCACTAGACTTTTTTTACATGCTTTGTCCTACTCTCCTTTCCTCCTCTGCTATTGAACTTAGCTCCAGTGTTATCCTTCTGTCTTCAGTTGTCCTGAGCATCACCGATATTTTATTTTAAACAGTGAAAGAAAGGTCAGTGCACACTATTAATCAATTCGTAAATATATTTTCCACTCTTCTTAGACATCAGATGCAATGTGTGGGTAAATGTGTAGTCACAGAATTGCAACATTTCATTCAGGAAACTTTCACGAATGTGGCAAAGATTTCCTCTTGCTTTTGCAGTTTGGAATAATGGAATTTTTTATATGGGATTTATCAAAACAATGTAATGGTCTTAGAAATTTTAGTTTTGTTTTAGAAAATAACTTTGTCATTCAAGAGTATAATAAAAAAAAAAAATCCGTAGGACTTCCCCTCCCTAAATACTTTACCCATTCTGAAAACCTGTTTTACTTTTAGAAACAGTGAGGGGATTGTATGAATTTTTTACCCCAACCCACCTTCATGGCTTTGGTACTACAGATAAGGAACTCCAAATTAGTTTCCTGAATGCCACTTTTTCAAAGAAGCCCAAGACCTGAATTGCCAGGATTCAAAGTAAGGCAGATCCAATGGTCTTTTAAAATAAAATGCTCCTGACATCAGATGTCTATGTTGTTTATGATAATATGATAGCTAAAATTTGTGACTAAAATTTGATTTCCTTATTTTTGACACTGAAGAGCAAGGAGTCATTTGCCAATACATAAACTATTTCCACTGGCGTCTTTCCTATCCAGTTTTATCCACTTTACAAAACCTTCCTGTCTTAAAGGGAAATATCTTTATCCTGATTAGGGTAGATTTTGAGGAGATTTATGGAAAATCTTTCGAAAACTCATTAATTAGGAGTGAAGCTCCAGACTTTTGAAATACATCCATTTTATCTCTTACTTTTGGCTTTAGGAAATAACTGAATTAATATGAGTGACATGACCAGAGAGAATGCCATGTAAATGAAGAGCTCTTTAATCCAACAGATTATGCTGGTGTGTCTTCCACTATTTCAAGTCTTAAAACCAAGATAGGATAAAAAGATAGGATATCCTTCTTAGAAGAAATGAAAATGCATGGCCTTTCTTATAAAGCTGATGATGATATCTTTTGGCTTTGAAACTCATGAGTCCCTGGGATTCTTGTTCACAGGAAACAGCACTTAAAATTGTGACTGATATCCACAGATTTTGAGCCATCTGTGCATGTTGCTTTCTAAAAGCCCTCTCTTCACAGCTATTATGTGGGAACTAATCAAACAACTATGGCTTATCACAGACTTGCCAGGGTAATCAGCAAGAAAAGATAAATAAAAAGAAATAAAAATATACAAATGGGAAACATTATGCCAGTTAGGAGAGAGAAAGAAATAACACATTTATTCATTTGGCATAACTGCTGTTACTTGAAGATATAGGCAATATTACATTCCAGATAGTTATCCTTCTGAGTTACATCTCCCTAAAGTTAGTGCTGGTCTCCTAAAGTGATGCTGGCTTCTTTAAATGAAAAAGTCTTAGGGTCAGACTTGCCACCAGCCAGGGATTAGTTATTGATGGGATTATGTATCATGTGATTTACAACAAATGCAGAGAATAAGGTAATAGCATATCGTTAAGGATAAAAAAAAGATATGGTGGCAATGGTAAAAAAATAATTGGCTTTAATTACTGAAAAATTGTTACCTAGGACCCCTGTGGCTTAGAAACACCCTTAAAAAGAGCTGAACAAAGAAATCCAGGGAAGAAAAAAAAGCAGAGATGCAAAAGTGCTGGTAAATTTTGTAAAAATCAAGACTGTTTTCTATTTGTTTGGGTGATAAAATATCTTTTTTCTTAGTCATTCCTAAAAAGCTTTTAGCTGTTTGCTTTCATGTTAGTGGGTTGCCTAAAATATTTACAATTTACCTGGCTAGGCGTGTACTAAGACAGTAACTCTTTCCAGTCTTCCTTACAGATGCAGAAATTAGCTTATTTTCTTATTAAGTAACATCTTCCAAGTTCTTGGAACTGTGTTAAAAATAATATTTCATATAACCCACCAAGAAAACTGAAGTGGTCTTTCCATTCCCCCACTGTATTAGTAGTTTTTGTGGAGAGGTAGACACTCAGAGTTCATTAAATTATACATTCCATATAAGGCAATAAAATAATTTGATATTGTCAGAAGAACTTCATCTACCTCTGTTAATGCTTGATTTATTAGATTAAACTGCAAGAAAGTATCTTAAGTTTATTATTAGCCAAATGTAGAAAAAGGTCAAAGTTCTGTGTACATCAAGGAACAGAAACACTTCCATGTTAATTTTCCTAGACCACATTACAGATATCCACTTGTTAATACAGATGTGATACAATTTGAAAATGAAAAGAAAATATAATTCTGAAGGCATTCTCCACATTTTATACATCTATAGGGAATCTTCTAGTTGTAGTCAGAATTATTAACATGTTTCTGGGATATTAATTCTTGAAAAGAATCAGCAAGACCCTTATTCTTCTCTCCTTGTTACTTCTGTGCTTTGCAGGATTGCACAACAGTTTCCATAATCATTAGGAGAAAAATGAGGTACAGCATGGTATTCCTGGGAGCAGTATTAGAAGAATGAAAATGGATGTTTCTTTTAATTTTTATTCAGAATAATTACAGTTCAAACACTGCAAATGTTCTATTCCCATATATCTAGAGTGGGTTGCTCAAAACCTGTTATTAGACAATAAAGAAAACAAGACAGATTAGGACATGCACAACACAGCTCAATTGAGTTCCTTTACATATTTGCCTCAGTGGGTCACAGTCCAGACTGCAAAGGCAGGACCAAAAGAACTGCAGATCAAGATTTTAAAATACAAATAGAATTGAAATACAAGATTTTAAAAAATGCAAATAGAATTTGTAAGCGTCCAGAGTTTGCCCAGAATTTCTAGGTGATTTTCATCTGCCAAAAGTGTGAAAATGCAGTGGAACCAGAGTGCAGGTACAAGAGAGGGGGCAGCTAAATGCTCACTCAGAATGAGAGCCAGGCTGCGGGGGGCTGCCCGTGGCAGGCAGCTCTCTCCAGCACTGCAGCACCCTCCTCCTCCTCAACTGCCCCCACCAGGGCAGCACCAGGGGCTGCGCTCCCCGCATCGAGCCCTGCCCTTCCCTTCCTCTGTCTCCTCTCTTCCCCACTGGCAGATTTTGTCACATGCATCAGATGGCTTGAACCCAGCTATGAATGAGAGGGGTTATTTGCTGGTGGATAGATGAAATGAGAAGGGAAACCCAAAACTTTCAATTTGCCATGTAATTTCTTCCTACGTGGATATGCTGCCCACTCCTTTCCTTTTGTCTCAAGTGGCTTCCTCCATGAACATTTAATAACAGTGAAAGCTCTCCCAGGAGACCAGAAAATGTGCATTAAGAGGTTCATGGAAACAGCATGTGCATATAGGATTTCACTGCCATTGCTCAATTTGCATTGTTCAGGACATTAATTTAATTACAGAGGCTTCAATACAGTTGGGGGGAAAAACCCCTCTCTCTAAATTAAATTAGCTGATAGCAAGACCATGCAATGTGGTACAAATGGAATTGCATTTTGCTTACATTCAACCAAATGAACATTTAGATCTCTGAAAATTAAGAGGTGTTTTATTCAACACATCACCAATTTAAGCCTTAATAATGGTATTTTGATTATGTTTATTGAATTCAGGTTTGGATGAATGACAATATGACCAAAATATTTGACAATCGCATTTACCTGAGAACTAAAATCAGTCTTAAATTATGTTTACATTTATTCCCCTATAAAAATATTATTTTAATTAAACAGACATATCAATTTGTTGTTGTATAAAATAACTTTTGCAATTGAGCCCAAGATAAAAATTGGCTGATAGCAACATTAGTGTTTTCATCATTTCTACACATCCTTATGAAAGTGAGTTGAGATGTGAATAGTTCCTGTTGAATGGCACTGCACAGGAGGCAGTGCTGGTTTGGATCCCCCATTAGCACCATTAAACCATGTAAAATGGGACAAATTTGTCTTCAAAGACAGTGTTGGCACCCTGAGAGCAGATTTGGGACTCCAGGCTCTCCCTAGACTTAGTCACTCCGTGGGTCCTGGCTGCCCCAGCCCAGCCTGACTCTGGAGGAGCCAGCCCCACCCACTGCACCGCCTTGCCCACCTGTGTCAGTTCCTCTCCAGTGGATTTACCTCAAAACCATAGTAATCTGTGAACGGAGCAAATGATTGATTTTAGATATGCTGCTCAAGATGAAAAAAGACATGAAAAGCTGATGCTGGGCTGGAGGCACTGGAATGATCCTGCCAATGGGAGGGATGCTGGGAAAGGCATACATCTGTGTTAGTTTGTTGTGACACATGCTATTTATAAGTAAGGGAAAAGAGGGAACGAAACTTATTTTAAGTATTACAATAATTTGTAATAACAATAACAACAACAACAACAACAACAACAATAATAATTTGTAGTAATAATTTCTGTTGTGAAACTTCCAAAGAAGAAAGGTTGTGCCTGGCCCTTATTTGCTTGGGTTGCCTGGGCTGCTGAATGGCTAGCCAGGTCCTTGAACAATGTTTTACTTTGACATTCTGAACAGTTGCACATAAAGAAACAGCCATCTGATATTGGTGGAAAATCACAGTGCTTTCATCCAAACAGTAAGTAAAACTGAAGTCACTAATCCAAATGGGAAGTCTTGGAGAATTAGTTCAGTTGAAACTTTCTGAAGGTTTTGTACCTGTTGCTGAGTATCAAATGTTTGTGATGACAATAACCAAGGAATAAGAGACTGAAACATTTCTTTATTTTTTCATTTTGTTTGCATCTGGCAGTGTCAGGGTGGTGTCCATTCCACCACGTCCCCTGTTCAGTTACTTACACTCTCCAATCAAAACCACATCTGACTGCATAACTTTGAGTAGTTCCTTTAGTACATCCACATGCCTTGGCAAACCAGAGATTTTCTGCGGGTACAGAGTAATTATTCACAGACTAAAGTAAAAACCAGCAAACAGAATGCCTTTTAAAAATTAGAGAATACCCTTGCAAATTGCAAGGGACTTCAGTTTATTTGTAATCAAAGCCTCATTTTGCTGGATCAATTTTTTTAACATAGTTACCGCAGCTTCATCTGACAAAACTTCAGTAAAATTAATTACTAATCCTCAAATCATTAAAACCAGATGTCATACAGTAGGACAAGAACGGAAGTGACACATGAGACAAGTCCAACACAAGATTTTGGAGGAATGTATCAGTTGAGGTGGCTAACACCACCTCAAGTGCAACTTTCTAAGTAAGTGATTTTTTTTTCCCAACTTAAATGGAAAACAAAAGTCATAAAAAAAATCAAAATTCAAATCTAACAAAACCATGGATTTTACAGGCAATAGAACATTTTGGTTTACAGTATTTTAAATGTTTCTGAATTGTATAAATTTAGTCATGCAATGCCCTGTCAAAAAAATTAGGCAAATTGTTTCATTTCAACTTTCATTTTCTTTCATTTTTTTTAAGCTGAAAAGATCTAAGGAAGCATCCACTTTATTGTGCTTACTTATAAAGTGTTCTGATGAAATCCAAATGTTAACAAATATTTTCTGGAGATAATTTTTGTTACTGCAAGGGCTCTATTTAGCTTTTTCACAAAGATTCTTTTATAAGGTCAGCCAGTCTCTTGAAGGCCTGCAATAAAAAATATGGTTCACATTTATATTTTAGCATTACATGAATAGGGAACACATGAAACCTGTAAAGCTACTAAAATTGTCCTAACCATATAGAATCAATATTTTATAATGTAAAGTTCTGCTGATTCTCTCTTTTCCTTTTATAAAATCATGTATGGGCTTTGACTGCACAATGCTTCTGATTCTCTGATAGAAAATAAAAGGCAGAGATTTCTGAAACAGAAAAATGCATATATTGATGTTCAAAGGTTATTTGGAGTTCAGATGTAACTTTTAACAAACCAGTGATCCCTGAAAGAGTACCTCTTTTAACTTAATATTACTGCCCGGGGACTCCAAAAGTGAAAAAAAGGAAGAACAGTTGAGTGGGGAAGCATATAAAAATACAGATTGACTGTCAATAGTATGGTTATTAATTACTTCAACAAAGAAAAAGGAAAAAATAGAAAAAATACAGAAGAACTAAAAAGGCAATAGAAGCACTTATCTGTTATTAGCCTTCACAACTGCATAAAAGTACAACTACAAATACTGAACTGTTTCAAGCACCCCAATCAAATCAGTATTAAATCTGCACAAATAAATGTCTCCTATCTTTTCTCCCATTGATTATATCTATAGAGCCAAATAACATCAAAAATGCACCTAAAACACATAAAAGATTAGTTCCTGATAATAATATCAGGAACAATATTAAATAAATAAAATAATAAATAAATAAAGCATGCATGTTAATTGTATGAAAGGAAAACAACAGTCTTTCTTACAAAGAATTACCAACACACACAAAAAAAAAAGAACACAAGTAATTCAATCTCAGAATCTTGGGAATCCAAAGTCTGAAAGATACATGATGCCTGCAAATGCTTAAGCAAATACTCTGGCTTCAGTAAAGCATTTATAAATAATGTCTGGGAGCTTTAAGTGTGAGACACTGTATGTATCAGATACAAGGAAAAATTCTAAGTAGTCCTAAAAATTTAGTATCTTGCAGATCATTTGGATGAGTATCTTGCTTAAGGAACATCTAACACTGCTGTGAAAGTACTGCTCAATCACTACAGACTGAAGCCTCTAACATTCAAGAAAAAATATAAGGAGAAGGATGTTAAAATAAAGGAGCATTCTCCCTGTGTGAGAAACTGTCTTGGTAAGAATGTAAAAAAAAGAAAATCTCACCAGATCCATCTGGGCAGGAGAAGGCAGAGAGAAGGAGGCTCTGACATAAGAACTAGGCTCTGAACTATCAATATTGAATGCTCCTCCAGGAACCAGTAATACCTACAAAAAAGTGAATAACCACACAGTTATTACCACATTTTTAAAACACTATGTTAAATTAAATTTAAGAAAGCTTAATGCTTACACTCTTATAAGTGTGAACATGGTGTAACATATTCTTTTTTCCTAAATGAGACAACAAACATATGCAATGTGTAACCAGATTTTTCATAATAAAACCAAAGGGTCTTTGGTTTTGGTTACCAGGTCTTGTTCATATCATCACAATGATTAGAAGCACCTAGAGTGTAGCTTAATCAGTGCTGGATTTGGAGAAATAAAACCAAATTTAATTTCTCTCATTAAAAAAAAATGGTCAACAGCCACCATATAGGTATATATGTGTTATAGATATATGTCATATACAATGACATATTGTACCATATGTTATATTGGTTTCAATTTAAGTAAACTGCTAAAATACCAACATTTGAATAGAGTTGTGAAAATATTTTGCTTATCAATAACTATGCCATAGTGCCTGACTTGCAGACTTAATAATGGTGCACAGCAAGTCCCCCTGCTTTTTTATATGTGCATATGTCGATAGATACAGATATTTTATCCCTCCCTTTTTTCATTTTAAGATCATAAGTCATTAAATCACATGTCATACTTCTTTCTTCAAAGCCTTTTCCATTATCAGCTGCTGTGTATCAGAAATACCCTTTATTTTGATCCATAAGAACATGCCAGCAGCAGGAGGGTACCATTCTGCCAAATCTAGAGAAAGAGAGAGAGAGAAAATGTAATCAAGCAAGAAACTTATGCCCCACTTCTAATGGATATATCATAGAGTCATTGATGTTTTAGATTTGCTGATACAAACATTATTATTACTATTGCTACAGTGATTTTTTTGTATTTTCTTTTAAATTCAGGTCACAATTTCAGAGATTTTTTAAAGACAGAGATTTTAAACACTGAAGGTATAAGAACATAATGAAGTGAAACATAGGCTCTTTGTAAAATTGCTTTAAATAGTAATGTGGTGAGCATTTTTTCATCATCATCTATCTCCCTATCCTACCAGAAAGCAAAAGAATGCAGCAATAGAGAATTTGTCCTAAGCTTAATATTTAATGCAATGGATTTGCTTATAGTGCTTATCTGTCACTTCAGTCAAGAGATGAACTTAAGTGATTTTTACTGAGCACAAAGATGATAAATAGCTGGCAAAAAAAAGTGATTATTTGCGCTGCACTCTGACCTTTTAACCACTTGTCAGCAGCAGTGAGCATTGCATTCCTCTGGATCCTGTAGAAGTCCACCACTCTGAAAGCAAATTATCAATTGAAAGTCATGAACTCATATCCTTTCAGAGTCTATTTGTTTCTAAAGGCAGAAACAAAGCCTTTCTACTTGAACAACACAAGTGCACGTTTAATAGAAATACAAGAATATCCTAGATGGGCATAACACAGTATACTGTGTGTATAAATATTTGTATACATAGCCAAGAAATCATTACTGCTTCACTGCATCTCCAACAGAGCACTGATCAACCAGAGAGAGGAAGTCCCTTTGTGGCTGTTTCTTCAGCTTTACACATATCATAGAAACCTTTTACATATTACATACATTCTGTCTATTATGGCAGTGGATATAAGTCCCGTTAACAGTATTTACTGCACAAAGCACACACACTGAAGAAAATTAGGGACTTGAACGTATGCAAAACCACAGACTTAATATTTGTGCATTTGGGTTGAATTTGTGTAACAGGTACACGTGGAAATGACATTTGACAAGGTAAAAACCAAATCATATGATAAACCTGTCACAACTATTTGACAGCTTCCCCTTTCCTAAGCATTTGAACCTATTTCCTTCATACCGCAAGTAAAACTTTCAAATAATTTAATCTCTTCTTGGGAAAAAAGACCCTAACCCAAGTTTCACCATGGACAAATCATGTGCAGTGGATTTTGTCAGCATAAAATGACACAGCTGTGCAGTGGAAGACACAAGAGAAATGCCTGATACTGAGTTCATAATTCAAATGCAAATGTGTTCCCATGACTTGAGAAAACATCCTTAGTAATTTGCATAATTTACATAATTTTACATTTGTATTTTTAAAAATACTTTCTGAACCAATAGTTTTGATTTCTGGATGTATTTTATTACATCTGACACACAAACACCAAAACCTACAGACTTAAACAGTTTTGGGGCTTAGCTAGATTTATTGCTACATTCTATATGAAAGAGTAAATCTACTTTGTGCAGTTTTTGCTAAAATTGCAAATCCTGTTACCATTTTAATTACATGCTGAAATCATAATGATTACTAAGATGAAACCCAAAAATGTAACTACTCAAAAAAACCAGGCAATCTTCTACTCCAAAGCCTCATGTAACACCTCACCCTTGTACAAATGAAATCAGCTGGAAGAGACTGCAGTCAGCTGTGGGGCCTCATCAGTAAGGTTATAAAGCATTGCAGCTGCTCCACTGCAGCCCTATTTTCATTAGTTTAAGTGGAAGAATGGTCTTCAGGCTTGATAAGACTGCCTTTTGACCTACAAGAAAGAGGTAAGTGAAGAGATACACTTGGGATTTATTTTTTGGGATCTGCTGAAAGTTGAGCTCAAGTGTGGTCCAAGTCCCTCTGTGAGACTTATCTTTATATTCCTAGATCTTAAAGCGATGCTAAAGCTGGTTTGTCTGGTTTAGTTTTTTTTCAAATATTGTTGTTTACAGTATGAACATCAAGGGGACACAAGTGGCTGTTACAGTGAGATATAAGAACTTTTTGCATGTTTTGCTCATGTTGCTGTTACAGGCCTTCGCAGAGTGTAGCACACTCCTACTGATGTGAGAAATCTGGGGCTCTAATGATATCCAAGTAGAGCATATAAAATGATGCACTGACTGTCAAGAGAAACTGTGCTCCTTCTGCATAATAAATGAAAACTAAATATGTGTCAGTCAGTATGCAAGAAATGTCTTATGAGTTAGATGGTAGCCCAGTGCTCTCTCTCTCTAACACTGAGAGGCATTGATCAGACAATGTTTAGTGTGTAGATGAACTTCCTCTTTTTTCATCAGTATCCACAATCAGGAGATCAAGGATGGCAAAAGTGTAAAGTCATGCTAACTTAGTGAACTCCCTTTATAAAGGCTATGCTGACTCTTTCTCAATAGATTCTGTGCTCAGAGATAACAGCTTTTGCTACAGACCCTAACCCTTTAGCAGGGATCTAAACTTTATTCACTGGCTTGAAGCTTCCAGGAACCTCTCAAGTTCCCTTCAGGTGGGAGCTGCATGCAATCTGTGCCAATGGACTGGCAGATTATCTGCCTGGAGGGGTAGGTGACATGCCCTGACCTGTTTGGCTGCAACTTCACACTGTGTCTCTTCAGGGCTCTTGTGTGAACCCAGTGGTCTTGGTGATCTGTCTGACCTACTTGGCCTATTACTGGTGCACCTCCTCTGACTTGTTTACTACTACTTGATGTAGGTAACAAGCAGCAGAATGACAGATGATGGGATTCAGCAGAGGACATGACCCTACCTGTCTACGTGTTCCAAGAAACCCTTTTGTCCCCATTGCTGAAGCAGCTGTGATACCATAATCTAAAGAAATAAAACACATCATCAGTACCATATTTTAAACAGGACTGTTCCACAATCATCAAAAGATCCATACCCAGATGCACTATTCAACATTCCCCAGACATGAAATTGCATGCAGTGTCTCTTGGAGCCCTTTATAAGCAGAGGTGCCAAGCTTATTACAGTCCATGGTACTAGTGTCTCCAAGGATCATGGCAGTTTTTGGAAGTGGGGATGGGGGGCAGGGAAAAATGGATGAAGAGCTAAATATGATAACTGGGGAGAAAGAGGAAGGCAATATATATTGCTTTACCTTCCTGTCCTCATTGGCCTCTCCGCTTTAACAGTGGTGAACTAATGGAGCTGGAAGACGGAAGCCGTATTTAGAGGTGTTCAGTGTCTCCTTTCGTTATTACTAAACATAAAGGGGCTGGAGCTGTCAGCTTGCTTTGAAATGTCTTTGTGGGCTGCCAGTATTGTTTTAATTGAAAAGTAGAATAAAAAATAATAAGTGTTTTTTCCATGCTGTGCTTTACATTGAAGTTGTAAAAAACCTATCAGGAAGAGATAAAATATTTCAAAACTTGATTCTTGAAATCTGAGGGTTAAGGAATATCAGCTGTACTATCCGTGCACTGAGACAACTCTCTAGCTCTGGTTCCGCATTCTATGATGGTCTCTCTTCCTTTGGCAGAGTTGACAATGTCAACTTTTGCATAAACAAAACTGCAAAAGTGCAGAGCAACTGTGAAAGTACAAAGCTGTTTGCTTGTGGTATCTTATAACTTGGATACGTTGTCTTCTCTAAATACAATTAATTTGGTGGCTTGGTACTTGCCTGTGTGAAAGTGCTGGTGTGCATTGTTGACACCTGAATGTGTAGAACAACTCTGTCGATGAGAGGCTTGGGACCTGTCAGAAAACCTATTCTTAAACTGGAAACCAAACAAACAAAAAGTTACTACAGAAATGCAATCTGCTAATACTTTGTCTGAGTTATATGCAGAAAAACATACAATGATTTTATTGATAGTGTAAGGATCTTATGCATTCAAATTCATCTATATCTTAATACTGCCCTCAGGTTATACAATTTAGAAGCTGAATATCAAAGTCATGAAATAAAAACATTTAAGAGGTTTTAATGCTTATGTAGCTTCTTAGTAATGAGGCTTTAGGACAAAATCTATGTTTGGAAGCTGTCCTCTGCAACTATAAAGATAACATGAATCAAAGAGAAGGAAAGACAAGTTTTCCCGCAATAAGAGATCATGAATGCTTAGGCTTTATGACAAACAGATAAGTGGCAAATGGCTTCACTCTTTCACTCCCTTTCAGTACTGCAGAAGGAATGATGGAATAAATGGTAAACTAGATGGTTACTTATGCTTCAATTCTTATTACTCATCTTTACAGATTGGTTGAAGGCTTTATCTGAAGAAAAATGGAACCAGTAAACTCATGTGTGTCTTTGGAAAACCTAATACTGTGCCATGCCATTTTGTGGTATCACTTCTGAAAATGCAATCACAGTGTTATGTTGTCTTCTCACTTTCTCTAGGATAGGTTATAATCCACTGGCTGCCAATGCAGAATTCATTAATTTTTTATATCCATTAGGTTAACAGACAAAAGCAAGGTAAAAATCAAATACATTGACTTGTGTGAAATGGAGAACAGCCAAGCTGGCTCTTTTTCTGGCAGGTGGAAACAACCTGAAAGATCTGGAAGGCTAGATTTCAGTACAACCCTATAAGCAGTTTGTGAATAATGATAGTTTCTTTTCTGTATTACAAGTTCAGGGAGCTTGCAGGAATACTAAGAGATAGATAAAAAAGAAATGGAAAAAAGAAGAGAGAAAAGCTCCTAATAGTTTCAGGAAAAGAGCTGGAATCCAGCATCTGTTTTTCTGCCTAGACAGTGCCTGCAAGAATGGGCTTCCTGGGGGGAGAGGCTTCAGAATCTGCATCAGAAGAGAAACAGAACCTGGAGTAAAATGACTGCTGAGAGATGACATGAGAAGTGAGTAGACTGTGAAAAGCCATTGATTCAGAAGTTCGTTCCAGAAGTGGATAGTTAGTAAATGATAAAACACTATGACATGTCTCATCACTTCATATGAAGTCTTGCATCTTAACTGAATAGGCAATACTAAGTGGTCTGCAGCTGGCCTTACCCAGATGAGAGAATTTTAGAGAAAGAGTCGGTCCTTATAACTCGGCCATCCACATCCATTGAAAGGAAAGTTGGAGCCCATGGCTTGGAATAAAAAATAAAAAATAAAATTCAAGGTGCTAGTAAGGATTATAATGGCATTATTTTCTTTACTAGGAGGACAATTCATTTCTCAAATGTATATTCCAGGGAAAACATTACAGTAACTTGCTGACAACTGATTGCTCAGCCTAGCTTTCTGAGATGTGATTACAATATTCTGTGAATATCTTCAAGAAATCAGCTTTTGTTAGTTTTTGATGATTACTTAGTCCACTGTTCAGCACACAAGTGTTCAGTTTAAATATTGGTATGACGCTATAAGAAGGAGAGAGAAATAATGATTTTTCTGCCAAGATTTCTTGTGGAGTAAAGAGGTACTGCAATTTCTAAAATGGAGCCTTGTGGCATTTTGCTTTGCTATATTAAAAAACGAAATCAGAAAATACGACCAAATTGTGAAGATCTGAGTCCAGTGTACTTTTTCCTTATCAAGAATTCTATTTTTACACCACCTCCCGTACATTTTCTTACAAAGCTTCACAATCTATGCAATGGATAAGTGAGGCAATTTTATTGCCTCCTTCCATAAAAACATATTTCAAAAGTGAAAATGCTGAACTTTGTCTTCTACCAATGTTCTAGTTCTTTGTAAGATGTGTTTTGATTTCTGAAGTTAGGTACTTTTAAAGACCGACTAACTTTAGATTTGCATACGAAATTTGCAGAAAATTTACAAGAAGGGAAGCTGTCTATCCAGTAGCACTATATGTGGTACCTGGGAGAACTCCTAGTTTCTCCAAAAGGCAAAAGGATAAAAATGGGGTATGGTAGATGCAGGGTAGACTTCTGCTGAATGAAAGAAGAGACAGGGAGAAAGGAACATTAAGAGACTGCAAATTTCAAGTGCTGCTTCAGTGACTTACTTGCTTTGCTCCGAATGCAAATTCTGTCATTTTCTGATTACTGAAAAATTCTATCCTGTATGAGGCTTGAGAAATTTGAACCACTAATTAACAGGATATAAAATACCACAAAGGGGAAAATTACTGAAGCAGTACAGATTGTGAGGCCTAAAACTGCCTTGGTAGGACATGAAGAAGAGGCATGTAGTAAGATCCAGGGCTCAAACTTCATAGAACTTTAGTTTCTCCTCAGAAAAGGTGTTACTAAGGATTATGGAAGAAAAATTACCTTTTCAAATTGAAGAAAGTAGTAAGGATCATCTTCTATTATGAGAAAATCATATTTTCTTGCAAGCTAAATAAATTAATAAAAAGTAACAAGAGGAATAAAAGTTAAAACACGTGGCAAATTCAGTCAGGTGTTTTTTTTTTTAACCAGCATCATATTATGGTTTTATTGATTGAACATTCATTATATAGAAGCCCCCATGATGAGAAGTCTTCAAGTGCCCAATTTAGATATCAAAAAATTGTAAGAGTAATCATAGTACCTGTAGTACACGGACCCTGGTATGCACCTGAAACTCTGTTCTATGTGGCATTCAAACTGTGCAGGCTATGTGCAATAAGCCCAGTTAGAAGCCCATGGCAAAGGTATCACCTGCCAAAGGGCTACCGTTGAAAAACAATTTACCTAAGGCATAGACTACCTCTGAAGAGCTGCTGTGATACAGATTCTGCTAGAAACAAGTTCTAGGAGGAATGTCTACTGTACCAATAATGGGCCCAGATACCAAACATGGGATACCTTCAGCTGAAACAAGACTTGATATTTATCTATTTCCACCTAAAAGGTTCACAAGAGCACAGCTCCATACCTGGTAAATCTCCTTTTTGCGCTCTGTGGTCAGTGAGTTGCCAGTTGGGTTGCATCCATTTGGAATAGTGTACAGGAATTTGGGGAGGTGATTGCTATGATATTTTACATCCTCTGGGCTCCAAGCAGACAGAATTTCTTCTAAAGCTTTTGGAATAATGCCATGTTGGTCACTAGGAATATTAATTATATTACAACCCAAGGGTCTCAGCTGTTGATAGAAGGAACAAAACTGTCACAATTGTGTAATTCAAAGGTCTTCCTTTTGTCATTGGCTCCATAACATTTCATCAATACAAAGTCTTTCTTTTTGATTTTATAAATATCTCAAGCTCAATTTGCTCATGAGTCAAATAAAAGTTTGCCTGAATTTGCTGTAAGGCTTGTCAAACTTACCACATTACTCTTAATTTGTTCTACTAAGTCAACTCAGAGAAAATGGCTAAGTCCTATGTTCAATTGCTGCTCTTCTCTAGGAAGTCATATTTAGTTTTTCAAGCAGAAAGGGAGTTTGTAAATCTGAACTGTTCTCTCAAGACTTCCCGTGCTCTCACCACAGATAGTTAAGGTCACAGCACCTTTGTTTCCTACTGACAATTTATGCTCTCCTTTTGTGGGAAGTCAGAGCTTTAAGCTACTCTTCCCTAACAAAGGGCAAAGAATCTGTTCTCACAACAGATATATTCAGCAATACAAAGGAGAATGAAATGATGCTACTGCATTGACATGTTGACAGCAGTATGAAAAAGTATAGGTAAAATACCAATGAAAAATCTTGCTGTCTCTCCTCTGTGGAATTTCAATTTGTACCATGTAGTGCTCTGCATTTTTAGGTAAAACTGCAAGCTGCTGCATTGTCAAAATATACTTCTTAAGAAGTACAGCTGATTAGACTATATATTCAAATTTAAGACAGTATGTAATAACAATTTATTTTGATGCAAGGGGGAACAACTGAATTTGTGGTGTATTTATTCTAATCCTTCTTGCAAGTCTTATGTATTTTGAGCTGACATTTAATTTTATACTGATTAAACTACTTTTCAGAAGAAAACTTTTCTTCTTTTGTATAGTTCTCACTAATTAATATCTTCATACTCATATATGGGTGTTTCAGTATATATTCCAATATTATACTATTTATAGCTATTGTATACTCTGATCATGAAATACTTCAGGTAAACATGCTGACGTGTTAACACGCCCACTTGTTATAAATTTAAGTTTTAAACCAAACTAGGTCCTGATGGCTTTCTTTCCAGTCTTGTATGTGATCTTAGCCCTTGAATGAACTAGTGTTTGGAAGAGGAACTTCAAATAGCTTTCATAGAACTTTTAGTAGAAAACCTTCTATGAGTTAATATTTATTAACTTAACTGGTTGGACACTAAAATCTTGAGTCTTAGATATGTTTTTATGGCAAAAACAGACAGTGTTTATAAGACTGCAGAACAGGTACTGACTAGTGCGTAAACTCCTGTTTAGTTCAAATGTAACATTCACAATGTTTTGTAGCTAAGGAATAACTTACAGCTGCTAGTGTCCCTGCATATGTGGGTGCATCCAAAAGGATATTGTCTCCAGGATTAATGAGCATTTCAAACACCTGCAACAGAAAAGATTCTGATTTAAAGATTGCTCCGTTTTTGGACATGTGCTTCATACTTTTGACTTCTTAGTGGTATTAAAAATCTTGATTAGATAGTAGTAATTCCCTAACCCTATAATTATCCTGTCTGTGAGAAAGGCAACAAACAGATGAAAAATCTGCTTTAGAGCCAAATTAAGATAGGTTACCAACTTGACATGGAAAGACTGTGCTCTGAAGCACCCTTTCTACTGTACAAGTTATAGAAATAAACAGCAGTGACAGTCGACTGGAGAAGGTAATTATTTCAGGAAGTAAAAACGAGAAGAAACAAATTTAAAACAGAATTATGGTAGAGCATCTATGCACTTATTATTGCACTACTTGAGTAACATGGTATGTTACCTTATAGCGTTTTTCCTACACAGGCTCTTTGGTTACCTGAACTTTCATGCAGTCCTGACAGTCTAGAATGCCACTCCAATTTTATTTCATTTCCTTTATCTTCTACATGAACCTAGAGTAATTCATATCTATGGAGAAAGAGTACATTAAACTGTACCCTGCACAGAGTTATAGAGGGCACTTAATGCTGAATACAACTGAACTGATGGAAGAATAAACATCTGTCTGAATGAAATGCTTCTAACACGTGAATCTTTTGGTCTTACTTTACACAAGCCTTCTTGGCTGCCAGTTGTGACACACACTTCCATCTGTCCTTGCTCAGGACTGTAATTGGCCGTGGGAGGATCATGCAAGTTCTGCTGGAAATCTTTTAGCCAAGACAACAACTCTGGAATCCTGAAAAGTGAATAAGAAGGCATACCTAAGACCTTATAAAGGCCAAAGCTAGCCTGTTCCTCTAAATCCCTGCCAAATCCAGCATGCAGTCCTGAGTTTGCAACTGTCACACAGATACACTTAGACTCAATTGCCATGACTACTTTATGAAATTAAGAAAATGAGATGGGCACCTGTGGTCCATACCAAATTATCATAGTGAAATCTGGGCAGAAATTATTTGCCAAGGATGAAACAGGGTGGAGGCTGAACAATACTCACTCCCAGAAATGATCATTCTGTACTCAAATGTGGCAGTGTGACACAAAGTTCTTAATGCTGCTTGTAACCTGCTGCAGATTACAATTTCTAAAACATGTTTTCTAGAAAATGTCTTAAGATCTTGTAGGATGTTCACAAATGGCTGGTTCTTTATATATTAAGAAAAGTTTTAACTGATGCCCCATGTGTCTCTGTAGGTACCCAAGTATTTTTGCAAACCTGTCCTCACCTGACTCAGTGCTGTCTGCTGAGAAGTTTACATGAGCACTAAAGCAATATAATGATATACAATTTTTGTACCAAAAATGACAGTTCTATAAATACCTCCTCTCAACTACCACAAGTTTTACATACTGACTTTAGTATATGGTGCCAAATGAAATGAAATACTCCAAAAAAACCTCCAAAACTATGTGTTGTAATGCAGTATCTTTTAAATAATATCTGATTTGGGTGTCTGGATTTTCAAATACTAATAGCCAGGAAATACTCTGGCTTAAGAAATACTAGGATTAGGGTTTTAAGTGATTTAAATGGGTTTTTTTTTCTTTGTACATAACTCATTGCAAAATTTTCCACTGAACTCAAATGTAAATAGTGAGGCAAATTGAAAAAAAAAAAAGGGTTTTGGGAAGAACCTATTTTTTGAAAAAAAAGGGCTTTATAAACAGGTTTTAAAAACACAGGTGACTTAATGCAATAAAGGATATAATGATCCTTAGCTTCTAGTGTCTTGAAGTGCAGGCAGCTGTGACAGATACCCTGCTGAAGCTGAGTACTGGAGAGCTCTCTTCATCAGATCTTCCCCAATCTCAATAGGTGTTCCATGTCCAATGTCAACAGTTGCCCTCTTAAATGGAAAAAGATTAGGATTTGGTGCCCCTCCAGCCAGAGAGATGAGAGATGGAGGAGACTTCTGCATCAATTCAGCTAGAGTAAAAGGAAAACACTTTGGTTACTATTTTATTATTATAATGGTAGTCATATCCTTTAATCAATATTTAATAATGGCCCAGAAAACTTGTTCTATTTTTCAATTTACTTGTTTAGCTATCATGAATTAAAAAGGATAACTCTTCTTGAACTCAGCTTTCTGCTTGGATTAAATAGGTGTTTGAGGGCCCCAGGAAGGAGATACTCTTAGGACAGACTAAAAAAAAAATTAAGTTAAAAAAGCTATTTGTAATTTATTTTTAAACAATCTGGACAGTTCTATATAAAAACTGTCATGACTGATGTCTTTTGAGCTTCAAGAATTTAAAATCTAAATGATAGTCTGTTTAGACTGACTTGAAATGAATGGCTTTGTTTTTTGTTCTGTTTTTCATTCAGTTTTGCTTCAGCTGATCTGGCAGCTATACTGACAGATGATTATAGCTTTTCTATAATGGAATGGAAATGTTTCTGGCAGCCCAGTTTTAGTGGCAAAGGGACTGTGTAAGTAATTTGCTATGAAGAAAATCTTAATTCCTGCTTTTAAGTCACAGTTTCACAATCATTCAGATCCAATCTATGTAGTGCAGACCAGAGCTTAATCCAGCAAGGGCACTTGATTGCATTAAATCTAAGAACTCACAATGTGGCATTCATGCTGTCTTGGCAGTTTTACATCAGATATGAGAGGACAGATGACACCAGATCTGGCTTAAAAGTGGCCTGTTACCAAGTTTATTTTCCAGTATTATTAGCAGACCTGAACATGGGGAGTTAATTCTTATCAGTTATTTCACCAATTTGTGTTATGCCCGTGACTTTTGGCCTGGTAAAGAGAGATTTACTTTGTCATCAAAACTGTAGGCTCAGTATGTCTTTCTACAGGAACTGTGCTGCTCAATACTTTTGCTATGATGTATATTAACATATCACTTGAAAAAGAGCCTGCCTAGAGTGAATTGCATGACTGAGCTGTACCTGTATGAAGCATTTTAAGCAGTACAGCAAATGCCAGCCCCTTACCAAGAGGGGAAATTGACCCCTGAAGGCTTAACTAGTGATGTATGTCTCATGCTTGGATTCTGTCAGGTCTCTGTGGGTTTCAGCTGAGTAAACAAGTAGGCAGTTAAGCTTCTCCATCTGTCACATGGAAGACAATGTAATGTAGCCTAAAGATAGATCAATATGGAAAAGGAAAGTGTAGTGATACTGAGAGAGTGGGGGTGCTGAGGCATTTATGGACGTGAACAGGATACTGGAAAATGAGGTGGAAATAAACATGCTGGGACTGAATTTCAAGTCAACTAGCAGTTGCTTGCTCCTGGACACACAACATAAACTCGGTTGCAAACAGCGTCAAAAGCCCGGGTTCAGAGACAGTGACAGAGGCTTTTCATACACTTGTTAAAGTGGTAATACTAATTTGTTTGTCTGGATGGGTTTCTGAAGCGGTTCAAGGCTATTCACTTTATTTTTCTTTATACCTGCTTGGTATCTCTGCTTGACCAAAGTCATGTTGCTTTGTCAGCTTACAGCATGGTTTTCTTACACACCTTTTAAGGTTTTAAGCCATGATACTCCAGCACAGACCAGAACACAGAATGATTCTTTCAGAGAAACTGGGAAGAAGGGATATGTACTCACTCAGCAGTCTTATTGGAGATGCTTTTCTTGCTGCACTCACAGTGGTGATGAACCTAGAGTAATTCATATCTACGGAGAAATAATAATTAGTTGGACATGAAGCTAGAAAAGGGAGTAAGATTTGCAATGTGCTTTTAGTATGTGCATCTCCCACAAGTAATGCTTTTGATCTGGGTAATTTGTAGTATGCCAGTGAGCAGGCAAAAGCCCCTTTACTGCAGGCTCTGGAGTTTTAATAGCAAATTACAAATCTGAAGATTTGATGGAACTTAAACTACCATCAGCTCTTTTTATTTAATGGGAATCCAGCTTTATTTAGCTGCATTAAGCACTGCATTTGAAGTGCTTTTAGGATTGCAAACCATCATTGTAAGTCACAACCCTCGTCAAGTTAGAGGTGGGGGTTTTTTTGCAAAGGTTCATTATGAATGTCTTTCAAATACATCTGATGAGTGCTTTCCTCCTTTTCCCTGGTGCCCATAGAGTTCACTATCCAGTGGCTAGTGACCTACAGTCCAGCAGGAAGCACAAAGGCCTGGAAAGGCCAGAAGAAGGCATCTCCTTCGAAGGGAAAGCAAGCAGAGAAATTAAATGGAAGGGCAGAGAGCAGCGACGGCAACACGCACGTGCCGGCAGATACTACAAACGATCTACCGAGCAAGAACGCTTTGGAAAAACACATTTCGTGCTCCTAAAAATACCTCCCTTAACTTCGCTCCCCCAGCGGCGCGGCACGGGCGCGGTGCTGCTGCGCACAAGGGCGGGCTGGGGCCGTGTTCTAGGGGACAGCTGAGCGCCGCTTCACCGCCCTTCCCGAGGCGATCCCGAGACACCCCCCAGCTGCCCACCCATCCCCAGCTGCCCCGGAGGGGACACCGAGCCCCCAGGGCCTTCCCGAGCTCACAACCGGCGCCGTCCCGCTGCGCCGAGGGCTCGGTGGCGGCCGCGGGCACCTACCGGCGGCGGGCGGGGCGGGCAGTGCTGGCCCCTCGGTGGGCGGGCGTGTGCCGGGCCGGCCCCGCCGTGGGTGTGTGTGTGTGATCCGGGCCGGCCCCGCCGTGGGGGTGTGTGTGTGTGTGATCCGGGCCGGCCCCGCCGTGGGTGTGGGTGTGTGTGATCCGGGCCGGTCCTGCCGTGGGTGTGTGTGTGTGTGAGCCGGGCCGGCCCGGGCGGGGAGCGGACACGGGCCCTGGCCGGCGCTGGGGGCAGCGGGTGGCGGCGCGGATCCCACAGCTCTCCTGTGCCGGTCCGTGCTGAACAAGCGGCTCCCTCACCGGCTCCGTCTGTGCAGTCCCGCGAAGCGATGGCTGGAGCCGACAGTACGGGGAGAGACAGGGGCAGTCGGGCAGGCGGCACCGCCGGGGCTGGGCACCCCCGGGTGCGGCCAGGACCCGCAGTGGCGGGGCGAAGCACGGGCTGGCAGTGCGGGAAAACGGAGAATCACAGAATGGTCTGGCTTAGAAGGGACCTTCAAGATGATCTATTTCCAACTGCCCTGCCACGGGCAGGGACGCCTTCCCCTAGATCAGGTTGCTCAGAGTTCCATCCAACATGGCATTGAACACTTACGGGGTGGGGCATCCAGAACTTCTCTGGGAAACCTGGGGCAGTGTCTCATCACCCTCGCAGTTAAGAATATCTTCCTATTATCCAGTCTAAACCTACTCTTTCTGAATTTGAAGCCATTCCCGCCATTGGGACACTACACCCAGACATTGGCAGGTGTAAAAAGTCCCACTCCAGCACTCTTGTAGCCCCCTTGAGTACTGGAAGGTGCTCTAGGGCACCCCTAAATTCTCCAGTTGAACGACCCCAATTCTTTCAGACTGACTTCATAGAAAAGGTTCTCCAACCTTCATGCCACTCCTCTGCCCTTGCTCCAACAGGTCTTAATCTTTCCCGTGCTGGGAACACTCTGGATGGGAGGTCTTGTAACAGTGGGGTGGAGGGGCAGAATTGCCTTCCTTGTAATGGTCACACTTTAATCAACTTTATGATATTTCCACTAAAAGTTTTGCTCATAAAAGGAAACAAAGTTTGATGTGTGATATCTGTAGGTGATTTTTTCCCCCCCACAGATGAGTAGGGTTTCCACAGATGAGTGGAAGGAAAAGCAGGGGCTGGTGCGTCATGTCCTTCCTTGCTGGGTGGGGGTCACATGCTGTTGCTTGTGCAGCACCTGTAACTGCCGGTGTAGCTGCTGCTTAGAAAGGTGCAGAGACACAGTGTCATTTTCTAGTCATGGCTTTGAACTCCAGCACTCTGGGGTTGCCATGGCCCTTGCTCCTGAGTGAAAAATGCTAGAAAGTGGTCTAGGTGTAAAGTAGTCTGAAACAAACCAGTGCAAGAACATGCAAAATCAGCTGTGCTTTGCAACATATAGGTCTTTGTAGTTAACTTGGAGGCAGGAGAGTACAAATACTGGATGGGATGAGCACTGGAGCATTTCTAGACTCCAATGCATTTCCAGGCATTTAATTCAGGAAATTGCCAGGCTTTACTGTGCCCAGTGCTCAAAGTATGTTTTAATTGGAATCTTCCAAAACTTGCTGAAGGCAAAGCTGAGGTATGAGAGCAAAATGTCTCTACAAAAGAGGTGCCTTAACAAGTTACCTTTTTCTTCTCCCTGCTTCTTTAATTTGGGTGACTATGCAGTATTTGGATCTGATGAAAGGCTTCATAATTAGATGGAATAGATTGAAATAGAAATGGAATTCTTGTCAAGGTTTGGATGCAGTCAGGAAAAATTGTTTTCTTGGTTGGTGTGTGAATGCTCTTACACTGAAAATCAAATTTTATTGACAGTTTTAATGATCTGAAGAATTTATAATTTAGGTAATTGCCTTCTAATTGTGTGATGTACAGACAAAAAGAAAAAGATGGGTATATAAATGTGAAATAGCAAATGGAGAGATATTGAATTTCTGTGGGGTTCTGGCTGTGAAAGACTGATTGAATTTGAACTGCTTTCTGTGTAATTCTTTTTTTTCATTTCCTGGCTGTCAGTGTTGCAGATTGTGACACAGACCAAAGCCCAGAGAAGTCAAGGGATGGTTTTCCAGTTTCCGTGGATTTTTGTGGGCTTTGTCTGGTTTCTTAGCCAATTATGATGTCATTCTATTGAAATAAATTAAAAAAAAAAAAAGGTGTACAATTGTTTGGATGTCTATCCTAGCTGGATTAATCTAGCAGTTCTCTGCATCACTGTTTATATTCCTTAGCAACCACAAGTTGAATGCTCTGTTTTACTACTGTGTAGGAAGTCATGTCTTTGCTGTCTTTATTACGTGCACATTTAGAACAATAATGATTCGATGCAAGTCTTGCATAATTCATGAAGCATCGGCAAGGTCTACATATGGTTGTTGTTAATTTCTCCTGTCATCTGAAACTGTACTACCTCTTTCTAAACTTGCTATGTGCTATGTCCACTTATGTGTTAAAAAACCCAAGCAAGCAGAACAAAAAAGCCCAAAGCAATTTGATTTAAGAAGAACAGGGAGATTAGGTAAATATTGTTACTTCGCTGTTTCCTTCTCCCCCTAAGGATTTCGGAGTATTTCTTTTAAGAGGAGGACAAAGGATTGAGACAGCAAACACAAAGTTTAACTGAGTTGCTGTTTTTGCAACCGTATGGACAAGTGTAACTCTCTCCAAGACGCTGCGCTCTAGCCTGGGATACTATACATTTGTTAGTTTTGTAGCATGTAATGCTTGCGTGCCCTGTTGGAAGCGATCACTTCTCGGGTTAACTGTGAGTGCGTGACAGAGCCGGCGCTGTCTGCAGCGGCCCGAGCGGGGCTCATGCAGGGCAATTCCCGAAGTGTTGGAAGCCGCGATCCCAGCGGGAGCCTTGGCGGGGCCGGGCCCGCACCGGCGCTCGGCGGCCGCAGGGGGGCGCGTGCGCACCGCCTGTGCGGGCAGCGCCTCCCGCTCCGGAGCGGCGATTCCAGCTACAATCGTACCGGCACCTTTCACTCGGCTGTCATTTGTACTTGTTATTAAGGGTCCTGCCTGAACTGCTCGGCTGCCCGCGTTTTAGTGAATGGGTTACATTTCTGCCGGTAACGCTTCTTGCGAGTTGAGGACGATGGAACTGGCAAGTGGTGCTGTCAAACTAGCCTTATGATGTGAAGGTGGGAATTTTATCGTGACGAATTGGAATGGCTGCCCATGAGAAAATCGCATAAGACCGGAAAATGGAGAAATGTGAGATCAGCCATTTTAAACATTAGAAGTAATTGTTTCTGCCAAGGGCTGCGTTCCCCAGGAAAAATGCTGACTTTGGCAGCACCTTTATGTTCACAGAACATCCTGTGTGCAGCAAGTCATCACTGGTACAGCGGCCACTGAGATCAGGAAGATCTCAGCAGTACAGAACAGTTTGAATCTAGGATGTGAACATCCACTGACACAGCAGAGATCAGAAGTACCTGCTTTTTCTGTGGGAAGCTAAAACTCCTAGGAGTGTGTTGGCTCTGGAGACAATTAGTGGAAGAGATGTGAAGTTAGTAGTTCTTTCACTTGCAGATTACTTGAGCGATTTCCTGACTTCCATCTGTCTTTACTGTAAGCTCTTGGGAAAGTAACATTTCTATTCTTCGTTTATGTCGAGCCTTTTTCAGTGGGACCCTGATCTTGTTGGACCTAATCAGAGCTTCTGCAAAAGTAGAATGCTGCCATTTGTTACTCTCCCACTCTAAGGCAACTGCATAGTAAAACATGTTTACGGTATCTTTTTCCAGGGTTTTAAAACTCGATGCATTCCTAAAATGGGAGAGGGCTTAGAGAAGAGTGAAGATTGATTCTCAAACAGTAACAAATCCTGCTGCCTATCCAAATAAAATTAAACAGTATCCTAGTCTAATCTGTATGCTTGCTGACCATCTTGGCATTAGGAGGACATCCTAATGTGCTTTCTGCTGCTGTTTATGTTATTACACACACACATACCCTTTTCTCTTTTTTTGGTAATAGCTAGCTCCTTATGCTTCAGAGACTGTCAGATGAAAATAACAGGACATCCATGATATTCATAATATTTGTAGCAGCTGTCAAATTATGCTGTCTTAGAGTGGAAAACGTGTGGCTCTGCAGAGTGACAGCTGTGGCTTGTATATGTTTGAAGCAGCCCTCTCTGCCTGAAGAGTGGTGGCACCCAGACATATAGCAGCCTTACTCTGATTGACAACCATTTTTATTCTCCTTTCTTTTTTTTTTTTTTTTTTTTTTGAGTGTACAAAGACTGTCATCATTGCTTAATCATTGCCTTTTTATCCAATCAAGCAAAGGGGACAGCACAGTATCTAGAACAAGTTTTCTAGATATTCTAAGAAGAGCTATAGAAAAGCTGGTTTTCACACTAATGTATTCCTCAAAAGCAGTTGCTTTTTCCAGAATGTGTTCCTTTGATAAGATGTCTAATACAGTGAGATGTTTGCCTTAGATATTCATCAGACACTCCTGTGCTTCAAAAAAAAAAAAAAAAGAGGACTGATATTTTTTGGATCACTTTGTCCATGCTATAGAAGCTGAAATTGGATGGAACAAAGATCAATAACACATCCAGTTGATACACTAACTAAATGAAATGAATCATAAGAAATGAAATGACTTCTCCTGACAATCTTGAGATAAATGCTGTTCCATAATACCTCAGTCTTGTCAATTTGAATTTATATTACAGGCAAACAGTTGCTGACATGTGAACTCTGTTGTGTAAATCTCCCAGGAAGCAGGTGCTCACTATTATTTGTGACATATGTTATTCCTGGGGCTCAGCCTTTGTTATCCATTTTCATTTAGTGGAGGCATAAGTGTTTTTCTCCCCTGGCCTTGCATGCTCCTCTGTTCCTAGCAAGGTCACATGTTTGTCTGGTGCATGTGTGGCATGGAAAAAGGAATGATCCTAAAGGTAAAAT